CTATTCTATTCTATTCTATTCTATTCTATTCTATTCTATTCTATTCTTCTAGTCTATTTTCTATTCTATTCTAATTCTATTCTCAGATGTTTTATTATTATACCAACTGACTTTCTAAAGTACTTGAGCATTAAATTGTAAATTGTTGAATATTTCAGGAGTCTTGGAAATGCTTCTTGGAAAGGACTGAAATACTGATAAGAGGTTGTCTATGGAGATTTTCAGTCATCCACGTCATGGTTGTCATAAAGGTGCTTTCCCAAGATGTTTCTCAACATGCCTTGGGAGAATCTACACATATGGGTTGAATCTGCCTTTCTGCCCAGAGACTGAGTCATCAATCTTTGCCACACCTCTTCCTGTTAGGCCAGGAAGTCCCCAGTCATGACGAAGGTGCAGCCACCTGATGATCTTCTAATGGCATTGGCTCTGCTTCCTACCTGGACACTGGATTAGATGGTTGCCAGGTGGGAATGGATTCTCCCAAGGCATGCTAGAAATCACATTCAGGTAAGCCAACGCCTATTCTCCAGCATGCCTGTGGTAGAATCTACACATATGTGACATACCAAAGCTGGCAGTCCCTATGGGCGGGAAGAAGTCTGGTCCTGTGAATCTCTGTCTGTATGTACTCGTTGTAGCACTCTTCTGCAAGGCCACCTCTGCTGAGGCGTATGTGTCCAGTTTGTAGTGCCTTACGAAAGGAGATGGGGAGGACCACTTCACCGCCCTGCAGTTGTCCTCAAATGATGCTTGCGTTGCCCAGGCTGCTGTGGTAGCTGCACTTCTTGTTGAATGGGCAGTTAGTCGTCTGGGTACAGGAAGAGCCTGAGTCTCGAAGACCTTGGCTATACACGTCCTTAACCAACAGCCTATGGTCAATGATGTGACCTAGGTACCCATGGAAGATGGTTTAAATGAGACAAATGGCTTCAGATCTGCAATATGATGAAGTTCGCTTAATGTACCTGTGGAGTGCTCTCCTTATGTCCAGTGTTTGCCATCTGTGCTCCAGGTTATGAGATGGAGCAGGGCAAAAATCCGGTAGGATAATTTCTTGAACCCTGTGGAAGCAGGAGTTAATTTTAGGGATGAAGGAGAGATCCAGGTGTAGAACAACCCTGTTTGAGTGGAAGGTGCAAAGGTCTTCTCTGACCAAAAGAGCTGCCAGTTCCGATATGTGCCTGGCCGAAGTGATGGCTACTAAGAAGGCAACTTTCAATGTTAAGTAGTGCAGATTGGTGCACTGCAGAGGTTCAAATGGTCCCAGAGTGAGGGCTTGCAGAACTTTATATAGGTCCCAAGTGGGGTACCTATGAATTGTAGGTGGTTTCAGATTGACTGCTCCCTTGATGAAGGTGCAGATGAATGGATGGTGGGCTAGGGAGTCTAAATCTCCATAATTCAGCACTGTGGACAGGGCGGCCACCTCTCTGCGTAGAGTGCTGGATGAGAAACGTTTGTCAAGTCCATCATGCAAGAAGTCTAAGATCTGCGGAATTGAGACTGTCGTGGGATCCATTTCTTTTCTGGCACACCACCTACAGAATGCTTTCAAGGTAGAGTCATATATTCTATTGGTGGAAGGTCTCCTGGAAGCTTGGATGGTCCATAACATTTTTTGTGAAAAGTTGTCCTTCCTCGGGATCCTCCTCTCAAGTGCCAGGCGATTGGACCCACTGTGGCTCTGGGTGTTCCAAGACCACCTGGTTGAGGGAGATCCTGTCCTGAGTAATCCTCCAAGGACAGGACGCTGACAAACTTACCAGGTCTGCTTAGCATGATCATCTGGGCCAATGGGGAGTGATGAGCAGAATCTCCACCTGTTCTAGCAAGTACTTTACTTATCACCTCCAGAATGAGGGGAAGCAGAGGGAAGGCATAAAGTAGGCCCTTGGGCCATTGGCTATGAAGGGCGTCGATCCCTTCTGTCCCTGGAGTTGAGAAACTGGAGAAGAATTGGGGGAGTGGGTGTTTGCTGGAGTGGCAAACAGATCCAGTATTGGCTGTCCAAATTTCCAAGACATTTCGTTGAAAAGATCTGGATGGAGACACCACTCTGAGTTGTCCACCTTGGTCCTGCTCAGGTAGTCTGCCTGAACACTTGTTGCCCCCAGTAGGTGCTCCGCTTTGATGGACAGTGAGTTTCCACCGTTGTTCCACTTCGATCATGAGGGACCTGGAATGGGTCCCTTCTTGTCTGTTGATATGCTCTTTGGCCACCACATTGTCTGTCAGGACCAAGACATGCTAGCCAGAGACCGAGCTCTGGAATTGCTTTAGAGCTAGATGGATAGCTCGGAGTTCCAGCCAATTGATATTGTGTTTCAGGTCCTGGGGGGACCATTGCCTTTGTGCTATTTGCACCTGTAGATGGGCTTCCCATCTGAATAGACTGGCATCTGAGGTTACAGTAGGTGTACTGTGATGTGAATGGGCTCCCTGAATAGGGTTCCTTTGGTCATTGCTAGGGAAATCCACCATCTGAGTGACCTGAGCATATCTAGGGGAACCTGAGCCTTGACATTGGACGTGCTGGTCCCTGCCATTTGGAATGGTAGGGGAAAACATTGGAGGGTTCTGGCATGTAAACACGCCCAGGGAACTATGGCTATGCATATCATTTTTCCCAGGAGTTGGGATAGAACTGCCAAGGGAACCACTCGTTCTGCTCTGCTCTGGCTGATCAAGGACTTGATGCTGTCCTGGCGCTCCTGGGACAAATAAACTTGGCACAGGCTGGTGTCTATTACAGCACCCAAGTGTAACAAGTAGGTGGATGGTAGCAACTGACTTTTTTGAAAGTTGATGGAGAACCCATGTTCCTGAAGAACACGGATTGTGGTCCCCAAATCAGCCTGTGTCTGTTGGCTGGAACTGGACTGGATGAGGATATCATCCAGGTAGCACTGGACCCGCACCAGAATTGTTCTGAGGTGTGGCCAGCACTTTTGTGAAGGTTCTGGGGACCGACAATAGGCTGAATGGCAGTGCCCAGTACTGATAGTGGTTCCCTGCATAATAGAACCTGAGAAACCTCCGATGGGACGGAAAGATGTGGAGGTAGGCCTCTGTCAGATCTATGGATGTCAGGAAGTCACACACACCCCTTATGCCCTCCAAATTTGACTGCAGAGATTGCATCTTGAATCTCTTGTACTCTAGATGTGCATTTAAATTTTTGAGATCCAGAATTGCCTTCCACCCCAAGGCCTTCGGAACTATGAAGAGAATGGAATAGAAGCCATGCCCCCTCTGGTCCTCTGGTACAGATGCAATGGCCTGAATGTCCAGTAAGTCTGAACTGCCTTGTTCCTAAGTCCTCTTTGAAAGAGATTCTTGGAGCTGGGGCAATGGGTGAAGGTTCTTGGAGGTGTGGAGAGAAAGTCCAGATAAAGGCCAAAAATCACATGGTTCTCAGGACTCATGAATCGGATGTGATATTTTCCCATCGGTCTGCAAATAGGGCCAGGCAGCCGCTGATGGGAGGATGGTTCCAGCAGTCATTTGGAGCGGCGAAAGGGGTGGCCTCCCAAGCCACGAAAGGGCCACTTCGATTGGAACTGCTGCCTAGCCCTGTCTCAAAACCTTGACCTGTCTGGTGGTCTATCAGATCTAGGCTGAGTTCTCTAGAATTGTGAAAATTCCTGTCCTATCTCTGTCAGACGAAAGGGCTGCCTATGAGTATAGTGGGAGGCCCTTCTATCTGCTCTCCTGATGAGGGTAGAAAAGACCTTGCACTTTTCCTTATTTTCTACCAGGAATGGGTTTAAGGCATCTCCAAAGAGAGAAGTACCTGGATATGGAGCGGAGGCAAGCCTCCATTTTGTTCTGGCATCCACCTGCCACTGCCTCAGCCATAGCAAGTGGCAAGAGGTAATGTTGGAGGCCAGTGCCCTGGAAGAAAAATGGGATGCATGCAAGGAGGAATCTGCTGTGAATTCAGCGGCGGCTACCAGTTTACTGATGTCCTGGTGCATCCAAATTTCCTCTGGAGGAACTCTGGCCTGCAATTGTTGAAGCCAAAGAAGGGACCTTCTGGTAAAGAAAGAATTGGCTGCTGCTACTTTTACAGCCCATGCATTGGCCTGGTGCATCCTGCAGAAGTTTAGTTCAACCTCCCAATCCTCTGCCTTGAGGGCCTCCGCTATGTATCCAGATAAAGTGGCTGGAGAAACCAAGACCAATGGCTCATCTAATGAGGGCAATTGAAGCACCTCTGCAAGAAGGGGAGCCATATTAAAAAACTTATCACCACCCGAGGTGAGAAAGGTGCCTGGTTGTAACCATTGTCTTTGAACCATGTCTAGGAACAGCTTGGAGCAAGGTATGTCTTGTTATATAGGAGTGGGCTCAGAGAACACTTTACTGTTTGGGCCCTGGTTGTTGGATGGCATTGCTGGAGGAGAAAGTTCTGTGCCTATCTGAGCAGTGGTTCTGGCCTAATGTAATAAGGATTTAAAGAGGGCTGGGCTAAAAAGTCCAGTAAATTGGGGGGGAGGTCAGGAACTATGCTCTCATCTTCTGAGAACCCCTGTTCTCTTTGCTCTTCCTCTTCTAGCACAGATGTCCTGCTCCTAACAGAGAGGCTGGGAGACTCTTCTCTGTGGTGTCTAAGGGCCTCAATAGGAACCCGGTATTGCATGATCTGCAATGGAGGCTCAGATTCCAAGAAGGGGGGATGGCTCCACCCCAGTAGGGTAGAGGCCACCCCAAGGGAAATGATCTGGTCTATAAGGGCCTTAATCTCCTAAGATAAACCAGGTCCCACTGGATCAGTTGGGTGAAGTCCTGCTGCAGTAGGTGTAAAAGAGGCCTCTAGAACTCTTATTTCTCTCCCTTATCTATGATTCTGCAGGATCAGGGGCCAAGCATGCAAAGGGAAAAGATTCAGTTTGAATTTTCCCTGCTGAGGGTGGATAAACCTGCTCACTATCCTCCTCTGGTGACCAAGCTCCTTGCATTGCAGGCAAGGCTTTCAGCAATGGGGGAGGGGGAATACCTCTCCTGCACAGCTTCTCAGCTCTGGAAAACGGCTTTTCAAGGGCATTTTGTCTTCTGTTTGCATCCCTTTCTTCTGCCCTGGTAGGTTTTCTGGAGTAGATGGCTTTTGCCCTTATTTTGTCTGCTGCATCCTTGCTTGCAGATTTAGCCTTCCTGGAGGAATTCTTAGCATGCTTGGGCTCCATGCTATCTACTGAGTAATCAGCCATAGTGTAGCTTGAGCACTGAGACTGCCCTGGGAGGAGAGGCTAATGGCTCAATCCTCCTTAATCCTCCAATTATGGGCAGTCCTTGTCCCAGGTCTTCTCCCCTGGGTTGTGGCAGTGGCGGCAAGACCAGACTCCTGGAGTAGCCTGCACAATTCGCCACACAGTCACTTCCAAAATGGCGGCCACTAGCCCAGATGATCAGCTGTGGGGCAGTAAAGTGAAAAATGGCCCTACCTGAGTTATCAGGCAAGCCTGGGTGCGCAGGATTTTGCAACTGTGGCTCTTCAGCACACCCCCTAAGGGGTGGAAATTAATGAAGAGCTGTCCCCTCTATGCCTGGCTATTGGGCCCTTATTGGTGATTCAGGAGAAGCCGCGCAATAAATGAGGCGAAGAGCAGGCTTTGAATCCAATTGTTGCCTCCCTTCTGTATTTCAAACCTTTTGGAGAATCCACACAATGAAGAATGCTGCTTTTCCAAAATATCACTGGAGCCAACCTTTGCCACATCTCTATCGGGCCAAGATTGAGTCATGATTGGGGACTTCCTGGCCCGACAGGAAGAGGTGTGGCAAAGATTGATGACTCAGTCTCTGGGCAAAAACGCAGATTCAACCCATATGTGTGGATTCTCCCATAGGCATGCAGGAGAATAATTTGACCCCATCTTCTTTGTGGCAGCCTCTCAAATACTGCTATCATGTCACCCCAATTCTTTTCTTTACACTAGCCAGACCCAAAACCTGCAGCCGTTCTTCGTATGGTTTAGTCTCCAGGCATTTGATCATCTTAGTTGCTCTTCTCTGAACTTTTTCCAAAGTCTCAACATAATAATAATAATACTTTATTTGCGGTCATAGACCGAAACACAAGTACAACAAAAGAAGAACATGGGAAAATTAGTCATGAACAATTGGTCAACAAAAACTTGACTAAGGGGAATTATAGCATTCTCCTCTGATGGTTACAGCTATTAAAAAAAAATTGGAAACCTGAAAAGTGATGTATGAGGAGCCATCCCCTAGACAATATAAGAACAAGTTACTAACATTGGGTCTAGAAGGGTCTGTTTCAAGGAGAGACAGTAACTTAGATCTGCCTGCGTTATACATAGGGCATATTTGCGGACTTCCAGTTTGAGCTTCTTCGGCGACAGACCGAAACCGAGGCTTCGATCCGTGCTTGCCGCTGGAGCACCCCGAGCCGGCTGGTTTCAGGGCTAAGCCACCCCGTAGAGGTGGTGAAGAGGGGGGAGACTGCCTGCAGGGTTGAGGAGAGCCGCATCTCTCCTCCCCAGCTGGCCATTACTCCCTTTCCCGAAGGCGGTTGTATCGGTGGTCAGAAATGGCCACCACAAAGAAGAACTCGACCGGAAAATAATGTGCAGGAGGAAGATAAGAAGAGAAAATTTTGGTTGACCAGGTCAGACAGCAAAAGCAACAAATAAGGTACCCTGGAATTTAAACTTAACAACATTGTTCCCAAAGAAGATTTTGAAGCTGTGAAGGAGAGAGAGAAGGGAAAGGATTAGGGTTTTTTTCTTCCCTTCCTTATACTGATAGCTAAGAGACTTAAGCAAGAAATTGAAAAAAAATCCACTTTGACATTAATAGGCATCTAAGCTGAAAATAAAAGTCAAAGGGATAATAAAGATTTCTGGACATTTAAAAGTTTTTAAAAGCAGGAAAGGAGAAAAAAAAAGAATAAAAGGGCAGGATCTAGAAAAATGGAGGAGACTGCCTGGAATTAAGGAATGGAACTGTAATTAAAAGGAACTTACAGTGAAATTTTAACAAGATTCCTCAAAGATACATTTTAATTGAAACTTGGTAACAAAATAATAGAACCCCAGGAAGAGAAAGTGGAAAAAAGAAGCAAGTAGAAACAGCCTTGGATTATTTGGATTATTTGGTGATTTTTGGTTTTTGCATCTAGATCAGGGATCCCCAACCTTTTCGACGCCGCGGCCCGGTTC